TTCTTTGTCTAGTAAACCACATTCAGCTACTTTCAGAAATTTCTTTTTGTAGCCAATATTGAATAATTTTTGAAAATTTGATTAAAAAAAAAAAAAAAAAAAAAATGAATAAATTCCTGAGTATGTTCACCGCCCCTCCCAAATAAAATAAAAACTGCCAGTGCCCCACTTTCAAAAATAAGGGAGCCCACAAAGGGGCTCTAGCGGCCACGTTGAGAAACCCTGGTCTAGTTATTGTAGAATCTCCGATATGCAGAAACTTATTTCCTTTATACAATTTTGTGTCTAAGGTTTTTACGTTAAGAAAAATGACACGACAGATGAAATACAGATCTGAATGTATCGGTCAGTTATGTGCCATGCGTGATACATGCTTAGGCGATCATGTATCTTTCGATACATGACTGACGAGGCAGATTTTTCCCCCACAGTAGGTTGTTATTTCTTTCTGCGGTAGACCACTTGCCATCCAAGGCTATAGAACCCACTCTGTCCTGCTACTTACCCATAGCTGGGAGGAGAAGAAGAGGATTCATACCGTTCCCAAGGGTATTAGCACGTAAGTGAATGTAATGGATTCGTCTGGAATTCGAACTCGGCTCTCAGATTCCTCAATCCATTACTCCACTGTATACAAAAGTTGAGCCAAAAGAGTAAAAGTTAATTGCTATGACGTCTTGAAAAATATAGTAGACTAGTTGCCCATTGCCTTCTGGTTTTGAATTCAAAGTTGTCCTCCTAAGCTATCCTGCTATTTAACCCATAGCTGATGGAGGAGAAGAAAAATATTAATACCTTTTCCAAGCGCATTAATGCAAAGTGAACGTAACAAACTGACAGAATTTGGACTCTGCCCACCGGATTCCACTCTCCGCGCCGATTACAATAACGCTAACCTGTACAGCTACATTTGTCTATGAATAAAGCCAAAAGGAAAACCGACGTGTTTAATCCTCTGAGGGACTTTATTAAGGTAAATTCAAGGGTTTTTAATTTGTAACAAGTATTTATATACAAGAGCAAAAATGTTATTTGTTTTTCAACATTTTTAATTTTAAGAAGGCTCATAACTATTCATTAGCTTAGCCGAAAAGTCAAGCAAGCTATGGAGGACGCGAAATGACACATTTATATTTGCATATTTAGTGTTATGGAGTGATTTCACAGTGGAGGCTTGTATTTGTACTAAGTCGGCCCTAAAATAGGTTCGACGTACAAAACGTTAGGAACTTGATATAATAGGTATAACGCAGAGTAATCTTGTTGCGGTCGCTGATACTTTAGTATTCGACGATATTTAGTCACCCCCACCACGAGGGCATCATGTGGCACAAAGCCGGTTTAACGTGGGATCTCCGAGCCCGTGGGCTCGGCCAAAAATATGCCCATTGAACCCGTATAAACGAGTTCAGGGTCGGTTTACCTCCCCGAAAAAGAATCCGCCCTTCAACGTAGCCTCTTTCGGGTCCTCCCCGCCCGAAGGCAGAGAGTTCAACCGATCAGCCGGTCGTCCGACATCGACTGCCTGACCGACTCTTACTACTCGTACTTATTATAGGTGGGAGAGTCTATTAACTATAAAATTATTTCCTACTACTAATTCCACTGTTTATAAAAACAGGGCGTCTACTCAAACATGAGTACCCACAAAATAACGTTTACAGTAGTAGGAATTCATATTTAAACAAATACGAAAGTTATGTCTTCTTATTTCATTAACTTTGATTCATGACGTCATCATAGGCAGATATTAGCGAGTAAGCCATTAGAGATTAAATAATAAACCTTATTTATTTTGATCAGTAAATTCCACCATGTGGAAAACAGCTGCTCATAATGACATTAATCGATATTTGGTTAACGTTTACTGAAACCAAACAATAAATATAATCAGTTAGGCTGTAGGTCAACTGGACTGATGATATACTTGGTAAGGTTTCAGTTTGCTTTTATCCTTGTCCACTGACTTTACCGCTACACCATCGCCCAGGTGTAGTCATTTCTGACGGAAATAGAATAAATGATTACTCTCCCGTACATAATAAGATGGGTGGGGGCAAGGTCTAATAACTGGGGTGTGGGCAGAAACTTCTTACGAATTTTTACTTTTGTGGGCGAGATGTGTCAAAATAAGTTTGTCTTTCAGCGCCTTCTGTTTTAACACATGCACCGAGGGCGTCGGTATGAAGCATAAAAAAGTTGCAGAGTCGTAATAAGAGAAAAGAAAGAAAGAAAGAGAAAAAAGAAAGAAAGAAAGAAAGAAAGAGAAAAAAGAAAGAAAGAAAGAAAGAAAGAAGAAAGAAAGAAAAAGAAAAAAAGAAAGAAAGAAAAAAGAAAGAAAGAAAGAGAAAAAAAAAAGAAAGAAAGAAAAAAAGAAAGAAAGAAAGAAAGAAAGAAAAAGAAAGAAAGAAAGAAAGAAGAAAAAGAAAGAAAGAAAGAAAGAAAGAAAGAAGAAAAAGAAGAAAAAAAGAAAGAAAGAAAGAAAGAAAGAAAAAAAAGAAAGAAAGAAAGAAAGAAAGAGAAAAAAGAAAGAAAGAAAAAAGAAAGAAAGAGAAAAAGAAAAAAGAAAGAAAGAAAGAGAAAAAAGAAAGAAAGAAAGAAAGAGAAAAAAGAAAGAAAGAAAGAAAGAGAAAAAAGAAAGAAAAGAAAAAAAAAAAGAAAGAAAGAGAAAAAAAAAGAAAGAAAGAGAAAAAGAAAGAAAGAAAGAGAAAAAAGAAAGAAAGAAAGAAAGAAAAAAGAAAAAGAAAGAAAGAAAGAGAAAAAGAAAGAAAGAAAGAGAAAAAAAAGAAAGAAAGAGAGAAAGAAAGAAAAAGAAAGAAAGAGAAAAAGAAAAGAAAGGAAAGAAAGAAAAAAGAAAGAAAGAAAGAAAGAGAAAAAAGAAAGAAAGAAAGAAAGAGAAAAAAGAAAGAAAGAGAAGAAAGAGAAAAAAGAAAGAAAGAGAAGAAAGAAAGAGAAAAGAAAGGAAAGAAAGAAAAAAGAAAGAAAGAAAGAAAGAGAAAAAAGAAAGAAAGAAAGAAAGAAAAAAGAAAGAGAAAAAAAGAAAGAAAGAGAAAAGAAGAAAGAGAAAGAAAGAAAGAAAAAAAAGAAAGAAAGAGAAAAAGAAAGAAAGAAAGAGAAAGAAAAAGAAAGAAAGAGAAAAAAGAAAGAAGAAAGAAAGAAAAGAAAGAAAAGAAAAAAAAAGAAGAAAGAAAGAAAGAAAGAAAAGAAAGAGAAAGAAAAGAAAGAAAAGAAAAAAAAAAAAGAAAGAGAGAAAAAAGAAAGAGGAAAGAAAGAGGAAAGAAAGAGAGGAAAGAGAAAAAAGAAAGAGGGAAAAAAGAAAGAAAGAAAGAAAGAAAGAGAAAAAAGAAAGAGGAAAGAAAGAAAAGAAAGAAAGAGAAAAGAAGTTGTGCCTAATAAATCGTCGGTGGAAGTCGAGAGAGTTAACATTGGAAGTAACATTTTTTTTTTCTTTTTTGTTTAAAAAAAAAAAATTCTTTGGTCAAATTTCAGTATTTGGTCCGTATGTTTTGCATTGCAGTTTTTTTCTCCAGAGTTAGTTCATTTCAGTAAATTAGTATAATGATACTATCAGGAATTCCCATGCCGTGTTGCAATGGTTAATAAGTTTGAACCTAAGCGGGCGCCACACACATATAGCCTTGATACCAAAGTAAACACAATTTAATAACAACAATCAGATAAATTCTTCGAGAGCGAAAACGAAACTCTGGTAGTCCAATATGTGCAATTTTGCATAAGCAATTATTGCAGTCGACTTATTTACAGGCACGGAATATGCATTCTCTTTCGAATGTATTCATACCTCGTGGAAAGCATGTATACATCGCCAGTTATGGGTTTAATACCAAGGTAGAATGGGCTCTCGCGCCTTGGATGGCAGTCAGTTTGATAAAAAAACTACTCCGAAATCAAAACCGTGGTAAAGGAAACCAGTCCACTATCTTTCTCAAAAAGTCAAACTTATTCGCAGTTAATAAAGCCCAGATCGCTTACATCCTGGAGGATTGTGTGCGTGTGGTAACATCTTTATGAAAAGTGCCCGAAAACCGTACCACGGATCGACCCAAGCGTTGTGAGTAAAGTCGTGGAGACCGACAGGTTCGGAAGCCGTCGAGGTTTGTACGAGCACGATGTCACAAGTTATCATGACCGAAGGTTTGAACGTAATGGCGTTCGTCAAACTGTTGGTCACTCCAAATTATTCGCTCTCTCCCAGAAACTGTAACTAAGTTCCGCTTAGCACGTCTGTGCAGGTTATCTGCAACAGGGATTAGCGAACTGTTCTAGAAGACGGGTGTGCTGTGAAACGAGTATCCGGACATCAATATATATATATATATATATATATATATATATATATATATATATATTGAAGTGTAAAGGGTCATATAAATAGAGGAGTAGTCTGTTTCTTGGTTAAGTTATATTTATACATTTCCCATTGGTGGGTTGGTTGCTAGTGGTTATTCCTTGAACTCTAGTGAAACTTAAATTTTCGAATGCTGATTTTTTAAAGCAGCTAGACCCTCCCCATTTGAAAGATTGGCGTCACACAATCTTCCTCGTCTATTCCACCCAATTTCACCTTACTTAGAAAGTCCCGGCGAGATACCGGTTTATTTATGATTCGTTGGACATATAAGGTCCCAATAAGATTCGATTTCATTACACGAAGGAATTTGCCTACAAGACCGACCTACTTAGTTCACGTTAGAAAGGCACTCAGTAAGAATCGATTTCCCTACGCTAATCAACTAGTCAGCGTTATAAAACAGTTGAAATATTTACATAGCCTGGCATTGTAAGCCACTATGGTGTGACAGTCAGGACAGTATTCACTCGATTAAGGAAATCGAATCTGCTAACCATCACCCTTACTATAGGCGCCATAGCTTAACTTGGGATACTTAGTGAGGATAGAACTTAACAACTTCGGGGAATTGGTCAACGAGACGAGTTTACAAAACACTGCGTTGCTGTAGCCACACTGTGTTTCAGTGTTATAACTGGTATTTAGAGTGGTCGTGTTGGTGATGGTTATTATAAAAGAGAAGGAGGGGAAAGGCGAGGAGGAGGAGAAGAACGAGAAGAAGGAGAAGGGGGAGAAGAAGAACGAGGAGAAGGGGGAGAAGAAGAAGGAGAAGAAGGAGAAGGGGGAGAAGAAGAACGAGAAGAAGGAGAAGGGGGAGAAGAAGAACGAGAAGAAGGAGAAGGGGAGAAGAAGAACGAGAAGGGGAGAAGAAGAAGGAGGAGAAGAAGAACGAGAAGAAGGAGAAGGGGAGAAGAACGAGGAGAAGGGGAAGGGGAGAAGAACGAGAAGAAGGGGAGGAGAAGGGGGAGGAGAAGAACGAGGAGAAGGGGGAGGAGAAGAACGAGGAGAAGGGGGAGGAGAAGAACAAGGAGAAGGGGGAGGAGAAGAACAAGGAGAAGGGGGAGAAGAAGAACAAGGAGAAGGGGGAGAAGAAGAACGAGAAGGAGGAGGAGAGGAAAAAGAGGAAGAGAAAAAAATAATAACACGAGAAGAAAAAAAGAGAGGAGAAAACGAGAAAAAAAAGAAGAAGAAAAGAATACTGTAGTGAAACACTGACATCATTAGCCCTACTGTGTAAAACAGTAGTGCCGATAGTCGGTATGGAAGCCCAGATAAGTAACATTTTTTTTAAATGTCACGTCCCTTCCTTACGTAAGTGATCATAGCTTGCAATGGATTTATTTTATTCATTTATCATCAAGAAGAATAATAATATCTGATTTGCCAGGATGGCTTTTGTGGAATGCAATTGAGTGGTTTCTTGTTTTCACGGTTTTGAATTCAGTTTCCCTTTTCTTAGTCTGATTGCACTACTAAAGCTAAACGAACCCAGTATTCCTACAATTTTACTCATAGCTAGGGGTGAGATGAGAAATTCGAGCATTTTAAAATCATTTCTGAGAAATAAATGTAATAACCTCGACCAGAATTTGAACTGCTCACCGATTCTATTTTTTGTCACCCACGCAATAGTGAAAGCTTAAAATGTTAGATTCAGATAGAATAAAAACACCAGTTAAATTGATTTTAAAAACAAAGGCTTACAAGTTGAAGCAAAGGGAGATATTCACGTACTTTTCCTTAAAATAAATACAAACACATTTTTTATTGTTAGAGTCAGACATGCAGAAAGGGTCCCGCCTTTTCAACAATTAATCTCTTGGGTGTAAGTAATAGTTGGAATTGCGAATTATAGAGATTTTCTACATTTTTTTTTTACATCTGATTTATTTATCCCCAGTGAAAATTACATTCTTATTTGTTGAACAAAAACCACGTTTAATGCCTGAACATTTGCAGAGGTCATTGCGTTTCATTTCACGTCTTTATTGAAGGCAACAACAGTTCCAAGGTTTTTCAAAATACAATTAACTTTACATTGTTTTATTCAATTAGATGAAGAAACGATTCATAAAATCTTTTGAATTGACTCCATTTCGAAAATGGTCCAGTGAAAAGCGATAGAGGGCAACAACAAATGTTTACGTCGGAAGTGAGTCAAACTCTCCTACGACTGTTGCTACCTCAATGTTTGTTAATTGATTGATTATTATTTACAAGAGAAGCGATTAAAAATGAATTCCGACTAAAGTCGACATTGGGATTTTCAAGAAAAAAAAAAGAAAAAGGAAAGGATGACAGTTGAGATTACATTTTCTGATAAGAATTATTTATTTACTTTTTAATTCAGACTTTTGATTTTTCCTAAGAACATCTTCGTCGTTTTGGGTATGACGATAAACTACGTCCGGCAGCATGATCTCTGATCGGGAGGTTTTGAGGAGCGTGGAATTACCTCTTAATTGTTTTGTTCTCATGTCTACCATGACCCGGGGTGGTAACACCTGTTATCACCCCGGATTAGGATGTAAGCGATCTGGGTCCCAGCTACGAATAAATAGTTAACCCCCAAACTAGAGCAAAACACTATGAAAGTATAAAAATATCAGAAATACATTTTTGAAAAAAATATATTACCAGCAATACATATGACTCTCGACAAAAACAATCTCCATAAATACGCTAATGAAACCTGTTCTACAAACTGATTTCTTATAAATACATATTCTATTCATACATACCTAACCTAAAAAAACTTGTCAACATTAAATAACCCATTGAGGTTGATATGCCGTAAAACAAAATAAGCCAAACTAAACATCTTAATTTCCCATTAAGCCTTGTGCCAAAGTGAGAAGAAAAATAGGGCCTTGCCAATTTTTCAAACAGAATGTACCCTGCTTTTAAAACCAGCATTAATCCTTGACTTTGATCTGGGTTCGAACACTGGCCGCTGACACTGGTAAGAAATATACAGCTTTAGTAGCACTGATTAATGAAATCTGCACAATTTAAGCTTTTGGTTTAATTAATACAAGAGCCCAACTTAATTCCAATATAAATTGGAAAATATTTTGATCATATATATAACCGGTTACTTGTTTCCAAGTACCACCGTCTGCACGGGTATCTAGACAATTCTCGTTGCAGACGCCTGTACAGGTATATTTGAGTTTGTTCAATACCTATAGAGCCAGCCTACTGCTACTGTACTTACCTGATAAACCAAACTTGTGTGTATATTCCTGTTTATATTTCTGACTCTCATATAAACTAAACCTTTGCCTACCTTTCTGAATCTCACGCAATTTAATGTCTACCTTTTTTACTTCGTGAAAACCAAACTTATATCTTACCTGGCACATACTAGGTAGGGTTTATCATCTCTCATTTGTGTCTCTTTTCGGGCAGAGTATGACTCCGTTGTGGCTCTGTCCGCAGACAGAGACGCGACTGAGGAAAATAAATACTGTGAGTTGCCTCGTCCCGAGGAACAGGTGTCCGAAGCTGCAGTTCCCATTGCACTAAAGATTGGGGATCGGTAGTCATACCGATACCAGCACAACCGGCGGTTGCGGGAGCTGGGTAATAATTTTCCTTGGCCCGGATATACGCGCTCGGGTTCCCCACGTTAAACCCGACCATGTGTCATATCCCGCCCCAGTAGGGAGATCAGGGCAAATATCTATTATGCTGACCGTTCCTGGGAGAGAGCGCATAATCTGGCGTGACGAACAGTTTGAACAAAGTTAGTACGCTCAAACCCTCGGCCACGATAACTTGTGACTTCATGCTAGCACGCACCGCCGACGGCTTCTGAATAGTTCCATCCCACCAAGTTCATCCACATAACTTTAGTCAAGTGGTATGATTTTCAGGAGGTTTCCAACGGTGCCGCACGTTGGGATTGCTTCCCTAACAAATTGACCATATTGAAATTCGAACCTGGGTTTCATGATCAGAAAGCGAATGAAAGAACATACATGCGTCCATATTATACATAAAGGGAGATAATTCGCAAGTAGAATCTCTTTTCAAGAGATGCTTCCATTTTCAGTCGCTGTTATATTATACACATAAAATTTTTAGCATAAAAAGATATTGTGCAAAAAAGTGATTTATATAATGTCAGGAGTAATCAATGAATTTTAGATACAATTTTTTTTTCTTTTTTTTTTTTTTTAGATGGTCAATGGTGTGTGTGTGTTATCCACAGACAAACTGTTTAGCTGTATCACAGCTCTTCAGCAAGACGTCCGATTGCTTCAAGAAGAGATCGAAACCCGACCGATTTGACATCAGTTAGGGATCTTACCCATACGCTATCAGCAGAGCGAAAGGGAATTTTTAACGTTTTTTTTTTCTATACAAAATACGTCAGCGGCCCGGAGAACTCAATTCGTACTTGAAGAGTAATGCATTAATAGCAGTATGACTCAGCAAATTAAATATATCTTGAATGTTTTTTTTTTCTTTCACAGTAAGGTTCAACACATACAAGACCCGGTGGCCACTCCTGGTAGAGGGTTATATTATGCGGATAGAAGGATAAGATAACGATTAACACGAGACTAGTATTAATTTTCGACTAATAACTAAAAGCATGACATGAAAGATACACCATAAACCGATATCATCATGTTAATGTTTATTGCTATAGAATTCAATTAACGTTTGACTCCAGAATCTTTATAAATGGAAATTGTTCTTGAAAATGGTCAAATAAAGTCCGCGTATACACACTCATTGGTTGCTTAAGTACACACGAGCAAATGCTCTTTTATACAAAAATCTCATTAGCCACTGACTGACTGAAATGGTTATGTCAAACTGCTAAATTTCTTTTCATGCATTAGTATGAAAAAGAAAGGTAATTTAAGTGTCTTTGAAATCGACATGGCCATTAGTGTCTGATCCCTTAGGATTTTAGCGAACAGCCATCTCTAGGGTTTACAAAGAATGGTCAGAAAAGAAAATCAGCGAGTAGCAATTCTGTGGATAGAAATCCCTTTCTGATGAAAGAAGTTTGAGGAGAATGGTCAGACTTGTTCAAGTTGATAGAAAGGCAACAATAGCTCAAGTAACCACACTTCATATCGGAGGTATAAAGAAGAGCATCTCTCAACATACAAGATATCAAACCTTGAATCAAACCAAGTCCTGCGCCTGTCAGATAAGAACAATAAACTGGGGTCACAATTCACTAAGGATAAAATAAAAAACGTTGCCCGGTCTGATGAGTCTCGATTTCTGATGCGAAGTTCAAAAGACAAAGCCAGAATTTGACGTAAGCAACATGGAAGTGTGAAACCATCCTGTCTTAATGGTTCAGGCTGGTAGTGTAATGGCATGAGGAATATATTAAAAAGCAATATCTTTTCCAAAGGTTTCGCTGTCTCCAGTTATATTTACCAGCAGACAATCCCAGGAAAATTTCCCAAGTTTTATTTAATAATAATCGCAAAGACGAAGCGTGGTGATTCTGGCAATTTGGAAATCCGACAGATAAGCAATAAAATGTTTCCTTTAATTGAAAAAATAAATATTCTCGACTTGACAAAAGAAAAAAACTCATATAATGTGATTGCTAAGATCTGCGGTAAGAACGAATATTCTGTTAGTCACATAACATTTATTATATATGTTTTTTAATTATCTGATCACCTAATACCAGACTCAAGAGATACTCCAGGTAGAGGGTTACTGAATGAGGTTGGTGTATGAACGTAAGAGGAGGAAGTAAAAATTGCAGATTCTGATTATATTTAGGAAAGATAACTGTTGATCCTAGATTGAAGAGGTTAAGATTGTAGCAATCGAGGAAGCATCCAGGCAGGAATCTCTTCCACAAAGAATCGGTTCTTGGGAAGAAGCCACTCGAATAGAATTTTCTTCTTATTAATTAAATACGAAGGGAATGTGGATATTTTTGTGAACCTAGCATGGTGGGTTTTAGCTGTAAAGGTCCAAACTGGTGGAACTAATAAATGTAGCTAGTCATGACATTTGCCATGGAAATAGCGATAGAGTAGCGACGTTTCATCTATGGGGAAGGGAAATTATAGAGTGGAAAATAATTCATCATCCACAAGGTCGCGTAGACGCAGAAAGTGACAACTTGGTAGCTCCACCCCCAGACATGGCAACAGTACTTCATTATGTAATTCTAACTTTTACGTATATATATATATATATATTTATATATATATATATATATATATATATATACACGCATAAACAGTATACAGGGTTCGGTAATATCTGCAATTTCAGGTATTTGTT